ATGACTCTGTCAAGTCTCTTGCTGTGGTTCTGGTTGTTCTGCAGCTGATGGATTTGACTGAGGTGGCTCAACTCTGTTTTCAGGAGGTGGTGGTGGAGGCAAAAATGCAGGTCGCTGCGGTGGATAGTGAGGATAAGATCTCATTGGAAATGGATTTCTTACTGTGAGAGAATCAGAGTAGTCCAGTTAGAATCAATCACAGCAGCACACACATACCTGCTCTTCCTACCCCACGTATCTTTATTGCTCAGCAATGGCCTACCTAAACAGAAGTCACAAAGTAGACCTAGGTTAAGCGTTATGCTCCAAAGAGACAAAGATGCTAGCAAGGGGGAGCAGGGGAGGACAAAAAGATGACTTTTCTCCATAGCTACCTGCCACAGGCTCACAGCTGCAGCCAGTCAGTGTCCAGTAATGGGCTGCTGCTGCCACCATCACCTTTGGCCTGCTGTAGCAGCCTATGGCTGTCACACCTTACAGATACTTTGGAAGATAACTGTTTAGTTCTTCACAGGTTAATCAGAGAACAGCAGGAGCCTTTGGTCTGATACTCAAGTCTTGCTCCACTAATGAAAACTCCAAGGAAAAACAATTGGCAAGCACGTCCCAAATGCCCACCCCTTTGTATGGACACTAGCATACCTCAGAGCTAAAGGATGAAACTAAGATTTATGTATGATGCAACCTCGTAGGAGGAAAAGGATTAGTGTAAGCATCTACTTGCTTTCCTACCCAAAAAAGAACCCTTTAAATGCTGAACAGTGTGCGTATGTGTATTTTCCAGCCAAAGCCAGTATTTGTAAAAACATTATCAATATGAGCAACTGTGAGGAAGAAAGTGTACAACACAATTAACCTTCATCAGAAAAGATGCTCCCGGTTAGTTGAACTGACAAGTAGTACGTGCAAATAAAGATTTAAGTGTTCACCCAGTGCGGTAACTCGCTACCTGCACAAAGCACTCATGTTCATCAATTTGAAGTAAATGCTGGCAAAAGCTACGTACTTGGCAGTGGAGGGCGCGGAAGCCCAAAGTCTCGTACTGGAAAACATTCACGTGGTCCATACATGCCAGCAGGAGGAGGGGGAGGAAAAGGAGGTGCTCGTCTCATGAAAGGTGCTCTAGGATCCACAGGCATCAACGGAGGTCTGACTGGAGGGAAAGGTGGAGGACCAAACCCTGAACTGACGGCTTCGCTTTCAGATGCCAGCGACTGATCAGGTAGCGAGTTCTGCAACACAATGAAAACACGGAAGTCAGCTCAGAGAAAGGGATAAGGGGAGGGAACACCCCCAATCCCATCAGGCCCGCTTTCATGCAGACTGTCACACTAGCTAACAGCTACTTCCACCTCTGCCTTAGCTACAGCATAATCCTGAGCAAGGCTATCTATGTTCACTGACAATCGGCTTGACCATACTTTCATCTTTTGGGCTATAATTAATTTTCAGCAGGGATTATATTAGTCACACAACAAAATTAATTCACAAGACAGTAAGTGCTGTGATACAAGTATACATACAATCTTATAATTTGGACTGCACAGTGCAATATGTGACCAATGTACTAGTGACAAGTTTTCCTAAATATTTTGCAGAAAATTAAAGCCTGTTTAAATCAAGTTTCTGTTTAGCTACTTACACTAAGATTAGAATGATCTTTCATCCCATTTCCACTCGGTTCCGTCTGTGGGCTATTTTCTGAAGATGCTTGTCCATCTGTATGTAAAAGTTAAACAAGTTACTGAGTGCTGACCTCCTTCTCCCCACCACCAATTTCAGGATTTTTTTCCCCGAAATCAGGATATATAAGCAAGAAAAAAAGAAAAAAAGTGTCACTGTACCAAGCAACTGTTCTGCAGACAGACTGAAAGACAACTGAGGAACACAAAGCTATGCCTGCGTATTTTCTGCAACTTCTGTACAGGTTGCACATGAATTATGAGGTTACAGCTTTTACCAAAGTTTCTTGTATCAAAATAAGACTTTTTCTTCCATTTTAGCATTTTTTTAGAAGTTAAAAGTACATTTTCCTAGTGATACATCTTAACATTACTGTAGCAGTTCCATTTTTCCCCTCCCTCCTGCTAATACTTTATTTCTTTGGTAAGTCCCACACTGGGAGTGACTGCACTATGATATGCTCTTGGCATAGAGCTCGACAGCAATTCTATTGAAGTTTGACAAAAACTGATTCCTTCCATAGTTGCTGAACACCAAGGAGACTTTCAGAACTACATCAGTTCCGGATGAGCGTTCAGAAATAAGAATAATCATAGAATCACAGAATCGTTTAGGTTGGAAAAGACCTTTAAGATCATCCAGTCCAACCATCAACCTAACATTACCAAGTCCACCACTAAACCAATTAAGGGTAGAGTAGCAATTTCATGTTTCCTGGCTTGGTGGCTGGGGTTCATTTATAATGAAAGTAAAAACTAGGAATCATTAAGATTGGAAACGACCTCTTATGTGCTGTACTCACTTTATAAATTAAGAAATAAATAGGATCTTCAGTGTTTTTACCTTTATACTTCCCTGAGAACAAGTATTTTCAGTAACAACTGGAGAAAATTATTAAAGGGACTTGTCAGAGAAGAATCTGACTGGATATAAATATACAGAATATATTCACTAAATGTACTCCTTTCTTAAAAAAAAAAAAGAAAACAAAACAACGAAAAACCCAAAGCACAAAACACAACCAAAAAACCCAAAACAACAAACCTGAGATTTGAAAAATACTGCTTTCTTGTACTTCTGCCTGAATAAAGATAATACTACTAAAAAGCACATGACCAAAACAATACTTCTAACAAGTGACAGATTTTCCATCTACATGTTGTATTTCTTCTCCTCTGAAGCAAAGCAAGCTCTTTTCTCAATGAACAGATAGGTCTTTTCAAAAAATCTAAATGACACAACATTTCAAGCAGGCCCTGCCTTTGTTGAAGATACTGTTACTGAACAATCTGAAGCATTTTAACTGTTTATGTCACACAGAGAATATTCATGCCTTGATACTTATGTTGCATAACACTTTCCATTTTAAATGCTTGTAAAGTTCCTCACAAACTGTCAAGCTTTAACCATCATTTCTGACAAGAAGTTTCCTGCTCCAGTTATCTGCCTCAAGTTTAAAGTTTTTGTAGTTGGCCATCTCAGCTTCGGAAAAGGTGTATCATTTTGTTCACTTTAAATAACATTTTGATCATCTTATTGAGAAAGTGTACCTCATTCACTCTTTAGAGTTGGAGCCTAGATTTCAATACTGTGAGACGTTGCTGTTCTGAAGTCAGATGGTATGTGTTGGATGGGGTGGGTTTTTTTTTTAATTTGGGGGGGGGGG